ACGCCAAGGAAGGTTCCATCCCACACCACCTTGCCCTTCAAATGGACTGGGGACAGTATTTTTACTGAGCCCTGTTAGCGCCTGTCGAAAAAACAATTTTCGGGAAGGGTTTAACACGAAGCGGGCATGGGCAGCTGGCATGCTGGGATAGAGAGGGAGCGCCAGGCACATGGCACAACATGGAAACAGGAGAGAAGGATCAGATCCCATAATGGGCAGAGAAAGGTAAAGTGCCTTGCCAAAGGGAAGTCCGAGGGAATCAGCGGGGCAGCGGGGGTTAGAAGTCAGGACGACCTGGATGCCAGCCCTAGCCCACCTCCCGAGGCAGAACTTCAGAATTACCCATGCTAAGGATGGGAAGGCCTGGAGCATGTAGTCCCGGTGGAGGCAGGCGTGTTCCCTACCGCAGATTCTTTGCCCTCACTTTTGGCCACACCACGAGATGCACCGTAACAGCATTTCTCGTATGGACGGCGCTGTAGCATCCCCGTGCGCTCAGACCTGGCAGAGTGGAACGACCTGCCAGGATTTCCATCCAAGAACGTCACGGGGTAATTCCGATCGCCCCCATCTGTGAAGGTGAGCTTGCAGGGCACTCAGAGCCTCCCAAACACCTTTGGGACCCAAGTGGCAATAGTGTCAAGCTTCCAATCACTACAGCACAAGGCGTTAAGACGCCACGATATGTCCCGGAGGACAGAGTCTAAGGGATCGCCTCAAAATACTCATTCGGGAACAACAGGTCTTATTCACACCAGGCGAGAGGACCAGCTGTGTGCCTGCAGCTGGAATGTCAGCCAGCAGTCAATGACTGGGTCATTCCACTGCCTTCGACTCCGCTTTGCAAATTGCCTGTGCTGGTCTGGTCCGATGCCATCAGCTGAACATGTTCAGAACTAAAGATGGTTAGTGGGGAAGGAGGGGCCTCTCCTCCCCCAACAAATATCTTCACCCCAAACTCCAGCCAACCCTGTGCCAGGCTCAGAAGGAGTTTCCAGGTGAAGACACTGTCCTCGTCCCCATCCCTCAGTGCGACACAACAGGACACCCCAGAGAACAGAAAAGGGCCTAACATCTTCATACCAAGAACAGCAACTACAAATATCAGCCAAGGATTTATCCAGTCTGGAACCAAGAAGATCTCCGGTTATTTGGCTTTAAATCTTTTGTAGCAAGTTCCAACTCTCAGCTGTGGAGAATTCAAGAGACCACCCATCCCAAGGGAACAGGAATTCTCAGGAGACCACCACAGCTTAGTGTCGGGTGTTGGACAACAGAGGCACGGACATGACAACTGGGGGCTGAGCCACGCTCCGAGTTCCTGGGGGGTTTCACTGTGAGCGGCAGAGGCAGGTGAAGACCTGCTCTCAGATACACACATGCAGCTCCCACCAACCTGTCAGGAGCAGCAGCATGGCCGTCCCAGGTCACAGAACAGCCCGGGGCGCTCGCAGAGAGGCGGTCAGTGATGACGGTCTTCCCACCCCGCCTGACTGATGGTAGCAGAAACACTCTGCACGGGTGCTGCCTTTCATCTCTCACCAATAGCTCTGAGCAAAGGCCATGCCAGCTCGAGAGGCTCTGCTATTTCTAGAGCTCCAGGGACTGGTCTCTGGCTTCCTGAGCCAGTCAGGGCTGGCAGTGCTGCGGAAACCGCGGGCACAGACCTGGTAGGAGCAGCCCATAGTGCTTTCCCATCGACACTGCTGCTGGCCAGCATAGGAGCAACACCAACGAGCTCGGAAAAGGTGTCCCAAACAGTGGTCCTTGGCTGGGGAGAGGGACATTATACGGAGAGGTTGAGAACTGCTGGGATTGAGGTCTTCCATCCCGTCCCGCCCCGCCCCCCACGGAGCTGCTTTGCTTTCCACCCGAGCCACACATTTCACCAGCAGCCCCTTGCTCTTCCACTGAAGTGAGCTCTCCATCCAGAAGTGCATCCTCACAGGACCCCGGGCCACCATGGGGATCTCCCGCAGCTCTGCGGACAGGGCCCACGGTTGCACTCCAGCTGGGACAGGTGAAGAGCGAAGAATCGGCCCGATGAGCGAGGCCCATTGGCTTGGCTGTCCCAGCTTTTTGATCTGCCTGTCAATCAGGCTTTGGCCTTATTGAAAGATCAAACTCCTTCATGCCTGTTTGTTACCTTAATCCTATTTTCTGCACAGCTTTATTATCTGTTCGGGCTTCTCTGGGACAGGCTGTTGGATTGACTAGACCCTTAACCCTGGAGCCTGTCCCTCCGCTCCCGGCAGAGGCTTCCATTCGAGAGGAGCCAGGAAAAGTTCAAGAGCACCAGAGGCCCCAGCACCAGCCAGGGTCTCGGAGCCTGTCTATGCACCTTCGGTATCGCAAAGGGCCCCCGTCACCTCAACATCTAAGCACCAGTCTGGAACCGAACAGCTCACCACCCCGTTCACCAAAGAGCACGTGCCAGGGTTAATTCTGGACAGCATCAGTTATGACAGGACTTTGGTTTTTCTTTAAAGATATAATAAAACTGAAAACTTAAATCATCAACTATAACTATAGAATAGCAGGGTAGACAGCCAGCTGTGACAGACAGAACGGCTTCTCTCTCGGCCCTCAAACCTGACCCCCTAGCTCTGCCAGTGCACCTCAGTCCTGACACACACCCCACCCATTCCTCCAGCCCCTCAATCCTAATCCACGGCCCCACTGACCTTTCAGTCCTGGACTACTGTCCCCACCCCCAGCACCCCTCAATCCTGATGTGCAAGGCCTCCCTCCCTGCTATTCCAGGCCTAAGTGGAGCACACCCATCACGTACGGCTGGGCTGTGCTATTGTGACCTTGTCCTCAGTACACCGAGACGCCCAGGCTGTCAACCTCACACTTCCCTCAGTTGCAGGACTGGGACCCAGCCTGTGCGGAGTCCTAAGGCCAGTGCTTTCCCAGACTGCACTACACCCCAGCAGCCTCCATGCAGGGACCCAGGCCATTAGCCTCCACCACGTATTAAGACTGAAGGAAAAGACACATTAAGGTGATCACATGAAATTACCAAGTCACTATTCAACCCTTCACCACGGTGAACTACAAGCAAAAACTGCTAAACAGAACTAGACCTCCGGATTTCCCTGTGCTCAGCCCCTGGCATCTCAACAGCAGAGAAATGTTGGCAAATTGGAAGGAATTCAGATAAATGTAACTAAAATAACTCAACTGCTTGAAAGGGCGATGTAGCTGGAGAGAGACAGTAGAGAACACGTATCTTGACTAAAAGAGGAGGGGTGATGTGAGATGTACAAGTACTTTCAAGAGACAGTATAGACATCACTGAGGAGGAACTAGTTCCTGTGGCACAAGCTGTTGCAACAAGGACTGCTGGGATGAAACTGAGCAAAGGAAGATGTCGGCTGGATATCAAGGAACAGTTCCCACCAGTGAGATCTATTTGGCGGGGAGACAATCTCCCAGAGACGCCCCATTTCTTGGGGGTGTTTACATGGGACTAGGAAAAGTGCTGGAGAACAGGCAGCAGGAAACTCTGAGCATGGCAGGGGTGCTGACCAGGGTGACCATTTCCATCTCTGTCAACTATGGGCTATTCCAAATGTGGGAATCGAAAAACTGGATCAGACCCCAGGTCCGTCCAGGCCAGTATCCTGTCTCTGACAGTGGCCACCACCAGATGTTCCTGGGGAAGGTGCAAGAAACCCACAGTAGCAGATGTGGAATAATCTGCCCCCCAAGTCTCATCCTCCTCTCTAACAGTTAGAGATTGATTTAAGCCCTTAAAATAGGCTTTAATACTCCTTCCTAAATGTGTTATAATTAATTATAACTGGATAGTCTTGATATTCATATGAATGTCCAGTCCTTTCTTGACTCTTGTTACATTCTTGGCCTCAATTATTTCCTGTAGCAATGAGTTCCACAGGCTAATTGCATGCCTACAAAGTATTTCCTTTTATGGGTTTTGAATTTCCCACCTTTTAATTTCACTGAATATCCCCTCTTGTTCTTGAACGAGCTAAATAAACTACGTCAACTGGTTCTCCTTTATCTGCTCAAGGAGAGAATTGCAGTCAGTCTGCTCTTTGTACTAAAGCAAGACAGGATAGGCAATCCCTTTCACTGGCATGTTGGAGCACATACGTGCTGAATCCCTGGCACCGGGGAAGAAGGGGACTTCCAGGGCCAAAGAAGTTGCATATTAACACCTGAACTCAAGTACAGAAAAAGAGTTTCACACCATCTCTGCTGAACTGTGTTCTGTGGAACAAAATCTGAGGGTATTTCTTACTCTCTGTACAATAGCCATGTCTTTCTCTTTATCTTCAGAAGCTGGAAGAATATACAGGAGTTGTATGAGAGCAAGGGGGCTTCTGAAATGTTCAATTCACTAAACACACTGCCCTCTAGGATATGGCTAGGGAAAAGGTTATTGGACGTGGTTAAGTAGGCATAAGGTTTGAAGCTCACAGGGGACAAAGATGGAAGAAGCCCTTTTAGATCACCCAACCCACCTTTGCTGATACAGAATTATCCACAATTACCGGTTTTCTAGTGCTTTGTCCAGTCATTTTAAGAGTCCCATGTCGCAGTTCCCGACTGAGATCTCAGGGTGTGGAATACTTTCCATGGGGAAGTTTTTTAGATGTCCATCTTAAGTTTGTGTCATTCCCCAACTCCCTGTCTCCGACATCAATCCCCTCCCTCACCCCAATTATTACCACACTCCCCATCTTGAACTCTTCTCCGCACGCTCCCTCTCGGCTCGGGGTCCTTCTTTCAACCTGAGTTGCCTCACGTCTACCCTGAAACTCTCAGCCTCACCCCTTATTCTGAGGAACTGAAAGTCACTTTTCTTGAGATCTCACCTCTACCCCTTCCTTTGCCCCATGGCTGACAAATGACTACACTGGCAAACTGCAGACGACAGTCAGGTTACAGGCAGCCTCAGCTGTGCATTTCTCCCCCCCCCCCCGTCCCCCAAATGAAACATGCACAGTAAGGTCTGGCCGCATGCTTACCTCTCTAAGTCCCAGGTTCTCAGAGGAGACGTGTGTCCACAGCAAGCTGTCCCAGTCACGAAGGAACTGTCAAAAAACAAAAGAGCATCAGCCGTCTCCCCTTGGAGCGTGAAGAAGAGCTGTGCTACGTGGAAAACATTCCTGATTCAGGGCAAAGAACAGCAGAGACACCAAGAACGTTGTTATTCTGTTTGTATTGCCACAGTGCCTAGGAGCGCCAGCTGTGTGCTAGGTGCAGGTACAAACACAGGAGCTCGCAATCTAAGCGTCAGACAAGAGAGAACAGATGGACACAGAGAGACCGACAGGGGACTACAAGGAACCAATGAGAAAACGTTGGTCAGCGTGACAGGCAGTGGTCTCAGCCTAACCACGGTCACGTTTTTTAGAAACATCGTGGCCAAGGAGGGTTGGGAGGAAGGATCTGAAGGAGGCGAATGGGTGGTGCTGAGGAGGTCTACCCCGGATCCCCACGAGTTGGCCAAGCCACACAACACTGCGGAGGAACCCAGGACTGGAACAGCAGAGAATGCTGCAGGTCAGGACTTAGGAACGTTGGCAGAGCCGCGTGGGGACCCCGGACTGGAAGCGCTGGAGCGCTGTAAGTTATAACATACGTGGGAAAGTGCCTCCTCAACAATGACACTAGCACAATACTCCACGTAACTGGGTATAAACCCTGCATAAATCCCACTGGTCATACCTGGAATCAGCCAGCAAAAAATGTGCAGCACTTTCACAGCAGCGACAGGCCAGACGCCTGTTAGAAACACCCACCACTATCACGGATTGGGCTCTCTTGCCGTATAACTTGGCTTCATTTCCACATTCCTACAAGGTCAGTTCAAAAATCCCATGTGATGAATACAGACCCGCTGATGTACGTCTGGGCTCCAGAAGTCACTCTACAAGCCCTGATCTTGAACCAAATCGATAAGGCAGGACCCAACCCCAGACCTCGAATGGCAGAAATCCAGTCATGTGTGGCAATTCTCCACATTGCTCATTTTGTGCCAGCCTCCATCCCGAACCAGAAAATCATCAACTTACGACAAGTTTTGCTACCAGTTATCTTTCAGAAGGTCTCATTTATTACAAACTACCAAGAAGATCCCCCCAAAATCAGTGATGGGCATAGCTCAAATGCAGGAAATGGAGTCACAGCTTTAAATCCAGACTGGTATCAAGCTGAGCTGTAACGTACTCTGGAGTGGCACAGGATGCTTGGCAGCTGAAAGGACAAACCGGAATAAGGACCCAGGTGTCTGTGAACAGCCAAGCTGTTAAAATAGCCAGAATAATTTTTTAAGAAATCCCTTGGATTTATCACAGTTTCCACCAGGGGGAGGGTCTCGGACTGCTTTAACGAACAAATTCATTCATCTTCAGCCTTCTGTGAAGTAGGCAAGCGTTATTATCCCCATGTTAGAGAAAGGGAAATGGAGGCACCAAGTAAGTCTGGGGTAGAACTGGATTGTAACCCAGGATTCTCGGTCTTTTCGCTCTCTGTTTCAACTGAAAGATCAGCCCTCCCCTGGCCATAAACTCTAGCACCCACCAAATATATTACCGGGAAGGGGTGGGACCTGGCACCACCCACTCTCCAGCCGTTACAGGAGGTGGGGGAAAGCCTCCTTAAAGTAACGGATGGTGGCCACCATGTCACTTTAACGTAGAAAAATCAGCACAGCATTTGTTTTTCAGACGTGACCCAACATCACATGCTCTTGGACCGATACGCCGAAGACCCAGGTTCTCTGCCCCATGCCAACCCTCACCACCAGCTCCTTACAACATAGCCAGGAGGGGTGTTCGAATGGAAATGCTGACAGGCTGTTAAGTACAGAGCGGCACAAAACAGAGTCACTTCCACAACTCTGCAATTGACCGCCAATTTCGTAGGCAGCAGTTTGGCCAACGAAGCCCAGAACTACAAAGCTAGGTGTTGGGTTTTGTCTCTTTTTTCCCCCTTTAACGTAATCCATTAATAACTAGTAAAGCCAATTACTGTGGTTAGAAACATAATAGCAGCTCGGGAACCAGTCAAGCGGGCAATTGGGTTCTTAAGATTTTTTCCTTTAAAAAAAAAACACAAGAGAAGCTCCTTGCTTCGCAGACACAGAAGGTATGCAACAAGCCCCTTTGACCGCGGCCACAGGTCTAAATTAACATGGAGGTAAATCAATAGGAAGGGAGAGGTGGGAGGAACCGCAAGCTCTAATCCCTGCCATTCTGACCGCCAACCAGCCTGTGGTAGGGATTAGGGTCCTCTTCTCCTTACTCCCAGTCGTCCCAACTCTCTAAAGCATCATCTAAAGAGAGCTGCCCACTGCTGCTCCCCTGCCCGAAACCTGCAGCGTTCCCACTCCCCTGGGCCGTTCCACTCTAGTGCTCTCACACGGGATTGCAGCCAGAGGCTCCCCTACTCTTGCAGGGGCTTCCAGTGTTCAGACACTTCAATACCCGCCAGCCTAGAAGAACACAACCCAGATTAACAACAGTGGCAGAAAAGCCTCAACTGCAAATAGCAGCGGGATGAGATTTCCCCCATGGGAGACACTGTGGTTGGGGCACTTTCATCGCAGAGATTAAAGAGAAGGATCGATATGGTGTCAATAGGACCAGTGGAGGAAGCAGACCCTTTTCATGACTGCTAGAGGCCAAAGAGTGAATGGAGCTCATGCAGCTCTTCGGTGATGTAGGGCAAACCATTCCCCTTGCCCCGCTGAACCTGGTCTATAGATAGAGGCCTTCAGGCTTGTTAGTCCGGCTCCCTTCACCAAAACTAACTGCGCTCCAGGTGAAATGGCAACACTGCAGCCAATGTTGATAAATACAAAGCAATGGATATTGGGAGGAAAAGTTTAAGCTACTCAGATATCTTACAGGGTTCTAAATTAACTATCAGCTCAGGAAAGGAACCTTAGGGTCACTGAAGAGAGATGAGAATGACCAAGGGCTGGAAAAAGTCTCCTCTGAAGAGAGTGAAAAGATCGGGATTGTTACCTTTAGAGAGGAGACAGTAAGAGGAGACATGATAGCCTCTCTAGAAATGCAGTGTCTAGAGAAGATACATGGGGAACTTGTGTTGTGTGACAGGGAGAACACAAGAACAAGGCCAAGGGGGCATTCAATGAAATTAAACAGAGGGGAAATTCTAAACTGATCAAAGGAAATATCTTTTTCTACACAACACGTAATTAGACTGTGGCATTCACTGCCCCTGGGAGCTGTTGAGGACAAAAACTGAACAAGATTCAGTAGGGATTGGACATTTATGTGAATAATGAAGAATATCCAGCGTTGTTATATTTATAAGAATTTTGCAAGGGAGATAAATCCTTCATGTTTCAGGGCTTAAGCCCATCTCTACCTACAGAGAAGAGGTGAGACTTAACATGGGGACAGATTACCCCACATCGGCTGATGCAGGGGGCTTAGATCTTCTCCTGGAGCACCTAGTTCTGGCCCCTATCGAAGGCGGGACACTGGACTAGATGAACCTGGGATCTGATCCAGTCTGACAATTCCTACGGTCTACTTTAACACAAACCCAGCCATTCAGACGGGCTTTCTAACAGAGATGGTGCCTCTCAGGATGTTCCTCCTTCACGGGACAGTGGAAGTGCCAGTGGGGAAGACTCTTCAGTCCCATCCGAAGTGCTCCCTCCAGAAGTGTGAGATGAGTGATGCTGTCAGGCACTCATGTTCATGTTGTGACCACCTGGGTGGGCCCACGGGCCAGCAGTGACTACATGTCCATTTCTGCACGGGAGGGTTGGCGACTTCACTTGGCATTTGTTCCCATTATTTCACAGGCTTCACCCCACCTGCTTTCCAATGTTAGCGCTAAAGCAAGGAGCTTCTTTAGTCTTTTGAAGATTTTTATACTTAACACACAACACTTTGGATGGGAAGAAAATTCAGGTCCCCCCAAAAGCCCAGTCCATCTCCAGCTACAAACCCTACTTACCACAGAGCTGGCATTTCACGGGAGATCACCCCCTCGAATATTCTGATGCTACCTCTGGAGGAGATACAAAACATCTCACTGATTTGCGGTCATTAAAGATACAGTGGGATTTTTGGCAATAGTTGGGAGTATCCTGGCTAAATTCCAGCTGCAGCGATTCCATTCTACCTCTTTAAATTCGCCCTGCAGTTTCAACTAATCACGGTATCGCTTTTACTTCCTCTCCGAACCTGCTATGGAGCGTTGCTGTGAGCTGTTAAAATGACTGGCTAGCGGTGGCCACGTTTCAGAGGTAGGGGAAACGATTCCAGCATAGACAGAGTTGGCAAAGCTCTTGGGATTAGTCATGGCTACAAAGGCGGAAGACCACTTTGCTGATCCAGACCTTCCGCCCTGGCAAACTAAACGCTTGCAGGATCAACTCCGTTGAGCTGGACACGCAGGCTACACGAAGACTTCAACAGCCCAATGTGAAAACCCCCTTTTTAGCATCCAACCCTGACACCATATCAATCCTTCTTTTCTAACACTCCATCGTGTCCCAGGCTTATGCCCTTCCCCTGTACCGTAAACAGATTGCTTCCCCAGCCCCATTCTGCTCTTGAGGGATCTGGATTCCAGAATCCAGCTGACACGTGCAAGCTCCTTTTCTTTCCGTCTCCCCCTCCCTCTGGAATTGGACGTCGTTGTTCCATTTTGGGGATGATTGTATACGGAGAACCATCGAACCGGGAAACAAAGGAGTTATTACTCCCCAGAGCCCGGCAGCTGGGAACGGGGAGGGCGAGGCAGGGAGCTGTAGGCAGAGACCGGGGGCGGGGATGGGACAAACGAAAGGGGAATAAGAGGCGTATGGGGAGGAAGAGAGTCCAGAGAGACGAGCAGAGAACGCGGGAGAGGCTCTTGGTGCTGCAATGCTAACCGCACAGGTCTGTGGGTTGTGTAGCCTTTGGTTCAGCACTGACACGCTTTGGGAAGGGAGGCCACCAGAGCTGTCAAATCCTTCACCAACGTGCCCATCAATTGTATTCAGCTCTGCCCGACCCGCACTGGCATTTTAATTACTGTTGGGTAAACTAATTTGTACAAATGA